AATTTTATTTAATTGAATTGAAAAAAAAGTTTCAAAATTATAAACATAACAACATAACTGGTTGATCCTGCCAGTAGTTATATGCTTGTCTCAAAGATTAAGCCATGCATGTCTAAGTACATACCTTAATACGGTGAAACCGCGAATGGCTGATTAAATCAGCTATGGTTCCTTAGATCGTAAATGCTACATGGATAACTGTAGTAATTCTAGAGCTAATACATGCCTTGAATCCCTGACCCGTAAGGGGACGGGTGCATTTATTAGAACAGAACCAACCGGGTGCGGCTTCGGCTGTGCCTGTTACATTCTGTGATGACTCTGGATAACTTTTCTGATCGCAGTCGGCCTTGTGTCGGGGCGACGCATCTTTCAAATGTCTGCCTTATCAACTTTCGATGGTAGTTTCTGCGACTACCATGGTTGTCACGGGTAACGGGGAATCAGGGTTCGATTCCGGAGAGGGAGCCTGAGAAACGGCTACCACATCCAAGGAAGGCAGCAGGCGCGCAAATTACCCACTCCCGGCACGGGGAGGTAGTGACGAAAAATAACGATACGGGACTCAATCAAGACTACATAATTCGAATGAGTACAATTTAAATCCTTTAACGAGGACCGATTGGAGGGCAACTCTGGTTTTAAATAAACACAAAAAATGAAACAGATTCAAGTGAAGTGAATCGGCAAAGGCGAATGAGCCAACTTTCATGCTCTAAAACATGACTAAATACTTGTAGTGAGGTATTAATTGGCTAGATATGTAATAACCAGGAAAATATACACACAAATTTAAAAATTTTTCGATACAATTGTTGTTCTAGTAGTAGATTCGGTAAAGATACTTCTGTAACAGGCTTGCAAAGGACGTTTTCAAGTGATTTCCCATCACGAAAGGGTCTTCAAGGTTAATCGATATGACTGAGTCGATATCGTTAGCACTGAGAGTCTTAAACCAGCATACGTTGATAACAGCGCCCGATCAGACAAGTGGAGACCCATTGGTAGACCGATACCATCTGCCAAAGGGATACATTAGAGACTTCATTCTTATGTCACAGTTAGCAGTATGCGTCATGTGCACTATCTACGGACGAGACTCCAGCCTCAGGTCCAGATCAATAGACCATGCCACCCTTGACTTCGGGTGAGATTATAGTCTGAATCTCTCAACCCCGTGGTACGAAACAGACTATCTTCCCACGTTTTGGTCACAAGGTACATTTACTTGCACTCTCTCACACTAGCCTCTCGATTAGCAACGTATCGGGTATAGGACTTGATCCCTTACTGTACTGTGGCTTCACTCTTTTCTTTGAAATATTTTTTTACTGTGAGCTTACGCATCTGATGATCTCTTTTCGGTACTGTCAACGTGAAACAATCTTGGCTACAGCTGGTCTGGTCACCCGAACTCCGGTCAATGTACTTGGTTGAACTTCTGGTTCCTATTACATCTAGCATACGTATGATCCGGAACCTGGTTATCATAGTCGTATCGGCTCAACCTGTTTTCGTCCTACGTCTGCAGTGATTTCTGGTTCACGCCCTAAGAACGTCATCATCAGATTCTGAATACAAACCACTCTAGGACAGCAAGCCAACTCGCGCAACAAACGTGGCTAGTTACTTCTGATACTGTCTACGTGAAAGGCCTTCAGTGACAAATCGAGATTCATAGTGCGCCTCATGTTAGTATCACGTTTGGTGATCTGTCTCGTGAAGGAAACTGCTACGTTCAACCGTTCAACTGGAAAGCTAGTCTAACAACATCAGTGTTAGGGAGAAATTTTGTTGAACAGCAACAATCATTATTACAGGGGTTGTGAAGATTGTTAAGTTACACGTTTTTTGAAATCATCAATCAATCAATGTTAGACCACCATTAGAAACCTGGAAGCACTGGACGGCCGTTTCGTCCTCTGGTATGGGATTCCTCAGCAGTGCGCATCCACGACTCCTGCACCTCGCAGGATTCGAACCCAGGGCCTTCGGTGTATTGCGCGAACGCCCTAACCTTTAGACCACTGAGTCGGTATCTAATGGTGTTAATGTCTTACTTGATCAAATTCACGGAGTTGCACAACCTTATACACAGTCTTCGATAGACACTGCCTACACCCGAACAGTTTGAACTTCACTGGTCACGTCTTCCCACCAGAACTCGGTGAAGAATTCCCATGAAGCTAATCACTAGTGAGAACTGGTAATTCTCATTACGGGGTTGTGAAGATTGTTAATTTACACATTTTTTGAAACCATGAATCGATCATTATTACTATCAGTTGTACCAATGAGAGTTTTAACGAACATTTTTGTTGATTCATATTTTTGAGTGGCCTATGATTGGACCACAGTTTTGTTGAACGATCGAACACATTATGAAATCAATCTTTCCTTTCTATCTGTTATACTTAGGTAGTAATGAGTAGCCAAATCAGAAATCGGTTGGATAAGTTTATTTCCAACAATTATTCAGTCAGACAGACATGAGAATGTAGAGTGTACAAGCACATCTAAACAGAGTGTAAAAGGTGAGGGAACCAAATCAGTGTGATGAAACATGACGTGTGACTATGCTCACACATAAACTCAGATGGAAATAACTGAGATATAAGCGAATAACTGGTAAGGTTGAAAGATGTGTCGGTAACTTGAGAAGGACAGATTATGTTATTTGTTCACAAGTTGAGACAAAAACTGTAGGCTCAAAATATTTATAAACACACTACATTATTGTATCACTTACAGATGATATACCCTTTATTTTTTTGTAAGCGCTTACAAGTGTAGGAGAGGATGATCAGTGCAAGAGCAAGTCTCGGCATTCACAAAGTCAAAAGAAAGATCCTCGATGCTACACAACATGAGGCGATCTAATCACACCTAACAGAGTAGCTGTAGAATATGTGGAAGCCTTAACATACCTGGACAGAGTCATTGATAATTAACAAGGTGGACATGATGCAGATGTAAGGACATGGTAAAGCAAGGACAACAGAGGAATAGTTTCTGGAACTCAAAATATCTCAACAAACGCTAAATTCACACTTTTAAGTATGAACATCAAAACGATCCTAATGTTTAGAGCCGAAACTTGGAGAAATACGAAACCATTTTTTACGCAAGATACTTTGGATCTTTTAGCCAATAGCCATCAGTAAAGACCCACTGTGGGAGAGAACGAAACAGATTGTAGTTGAGAGTGAAATCGAGAAAAAGCTTAGGAAGTAGATAGGTCAAAAATTGGGACAAGCTCCAACTTGGAACCCTCCAGTTCAGAACAAAAGATTCAGACCAGACATGAAAAGAATGAACAGAAACTGTTAGGGAACTGAGAAAGCAGTAAGAGGACAGAGTAGATTGAGGAGAGCTATTCAACGGCCAATGCTACACAATGGGTCACAAGTGTAAGTGAGTTATCAAGTCACTTGGAATATATGTTATTAATTTATTAGCCCATCTAAATCACTACCGAACAATGAAAGCATCAAAGTTTTCATTTATTACCAAAGTAAATAAACTGTAAGTTCATATCTTAAAGAAAAGATTGTTTATCTAAAGCGAAAAGAGAGAGATAACAAAAATGTATGAAACGTTTGTTTACGACTGATTCTTTTTAATAATTTGTCGATTTATAAAGGAATAGTCCACACATATTCATAATAAATTATAAAATAACGGTTGTCTGCTTATTATCAAAACGTTTTCAAACTTTTGTTTGATGTTTTTGACTATAAAGTGATCGGGTTTTTTTTGTTTGAACGTTAAACCTCCGCATTCAGTTAATGTTGTCTTATTAAGATCGGGATATCTATAGATTATCAATATGAATAGTTCTGTCTCATTAAATTATTTACTTAATTACTTGTACTTGTTACTAACTCTTTTGAACGTAAGATCATCAATTTGTATTCTTCAACCTACACTGTCTTGGATTCTTCTTTCCATTTGTTGATAATTCACTGTTTGCTCTTTTCACATCCACTTCCGATTTGATTTTCTTCGTATCTTTTTGAATAGAGGATCGGAAGTTGAAAATTATGACGTTTGTGTTGGTTGATAGTTGTGTTTACTTCACGAAGTTCTCCAAGCGAGGAAGTGTTTCCCCTGATCAGCCAATTCGCTCCTTTATATCCTCATTAGATCTACCTTCCTGAACATTGATACCACCCAGATATGTAAAGGTGTTTCATCCTCCAAAGTTGTATCATCAACTACGATAGGTTTTATCGGAGGATGTTGAGACTACTTCTACTTTTCTTGACTCCTCCTGCATTTGTTTGTAAATTAAATTGAAAAGATAAGCACGTAATCGAATGTTAGTAATTTTTTTGTCTGGAAAAAGGCGATTGTAGGCTGGAAGAGCGTTATTGACCTCAAAAAGCAGTTCCATCATCAGTCTATGAAGTTATGGAGAATCAGACTGATTCCTGTTAGTAGGTAAAGACTACATGGTTGGCGCCCACAAGACTTTGAATGATATGATTGAAAATTGTTTGGAATGGCGCAGATGCATCTATTCTTTGTCTCCTCTTGAATTCGAATCCTCTATTTTCTTCGTGACATCTTGTTTATCTCTGCTTAAGTTTATTCACTTTATACATATACAGAATCCTATCATCTAATACAAATTTTTCCATATTCAAAAATACTGCTACAACCTCCATCACTATCAATGGATTGTAATACGATGTGGAGACTTGAACTGACTGATGTATTTATCAAACCCTAAATTTCAGCTGGCTTGCTGACAACTACTAATAACACTTTGTTGTGTAATATTCCAAAAGCAGCTTACAAGCGATATGCAGTGAATGTGCATCAGAGTGTCATCCTGCCGTCATGGTAGAAGTGTTAAGTGTATGATACAGCTTTATAACAAGATTTGTGTATTTCGAAGAACAGACGACATGTAGAATATGACAATCAAGAATAATCTTGTTTTATGATAAGTCATACACAATTTGGCTTGTAGATTGTATCCTTTATCACTTCAGTGTCTACTTCTTCATTCATAACAATCTAACTACTACTACTACTACTACTACTACTACTACTACTACTACTACTACTACTACTACTACTACTACTACTACTACTACTACTACTACTACTACTACTACTACTACTACTACTACTACTACTACTACTACTACTACTACTACTACTACTACTACTACTACTACTACTACTACTACTACTACTACTACTACTACTACTACTACTACTACTACTACTACTACTACTACTACTACTACTACTACTACTACTACTACTACTACTACTACTACTACTACTACTACTACTACTACTACTACTACTACTACTACTACTACTACTACTACTACTACTACTACTACTACTACTACTACTACTACTACTACTACTACTACTACTACTACTACTACTACTACTACTACTACTACTACTACTACTACTACTACTACTACTACTACTACTACTACTACTACTACTACTACTACTACTACTACTACTACTACTACTACTACTACTACTACTACTACTACTACTACTCCGACTACTACTACTACTACTACAACTACTACTACTACTACTACTACCACCACAACTACTACCACTACTATTGCGACTACTACACTGATCACTCATACTAATAAAACTACTCACACTTATATTATCACAAGTATGATATCGAAGATCTTCTATGATGTTTACAAAAAGAGCTTCTCTATTAAAAATAATATTTACTTCTTATCATAAAATTATTCAATTCATAATTGTACTCCTTTGAACTTTTGTTCATAAACAAATCTAAAATTGAATACAATCTGTTTATGGTTTATCGATTCATATTATCTACGAATAATAATAATAATAATAATTAATTTACCAATTATATAATCACATCTCACACACTATAGTTATACTTCATTTTCAAGATTCAACTCAACTCAACTCAACTAATCATTTTTACGGATTGTTTCATATGTATATATGTATAAATATATAAAGACTACACATTGAGAAAAATAAAACGAAACCTGAAACAACAGATAGTTCTCACAACATCAAAATGTACCAACTAATTGTGATTTTCATAAATTTATTGATAATCATAGTGGATGTATCTACAGAAAATAGTAAGTTTGTTTGTTTTATTGAACTAATTTTTCGAATATGCCGTTAACATTGAATTTTTTGGCAGACAATATGAATTTTGTAATGTTAAGCTTAGAAAAAAACATACTGTAGTGAAGAAGAACAAAGGTGTGGGCAACCGAAATTGTATTTAATCGCAAATTACAGAGTTACTCAGTAAAATTAGGAAAACCATATCGTAAACCGTTGTTGATTTGCAAATCTTCGATTCATCATCAATCCATTGTCTGACATTTCACTCACTATTCATGCGTTTCATACACAAATTCCATTGTGTTACCCCACCCACTCTTCCTTTCTTGTTGATCTTTCCCCATCTTCTCTTCTGCTGCCAGACATTACGTTGTCACTCGCGTCATATACTACTTATAAGTAGCGCACATCATACATATGATTACATAAGAACTGACTACTGTCGTATACTTTTCTTAGAGAACCTAGTGTTATTTAGTTCAATCGAATAAGATACCTTCTGATAAAAATAAAAATATGTATCTTTAGTAAATTCAGTCTATATACATATATGTATATACTTCTAGATACTGAGTGGAAAAAAGAATCGATCGTCAACAAATGGAATGAAATCAATGGTAAGACATTAGTTTGCAAAATCAATAACTCAAAGTATTGAAATCTTGATAATATTTTCAAATGTTTGAAATCATGAACTGATAGGTGTCAGATCATCGTTTAGAAATCGGAGAGCAATAAAAAAATCGTTTCGATTTAGTCTTGGACTCATTGGAGTTTTAACAATGATCAGTTGGTAATTTCAATGAAATTCATCACCCTTCCTGACCATATGTTGGAAACTTTTCAGTTTGACTTATTTAGATAGTTTGTCAGTTTATTTCATATAATCGTTATTCTAAGGATGTTTGTATGCAAATAATTATTCATTAAGATATATAATTTTCATACTAAGAATAATACCATCAAACTTAGATTTCATATGATGATTAGAATAAGTAAAATTTCGCTATCACGATGAAAACGTATCCCGAAATGAGACAATCAGTATGAATTATTACTGTATTGAGCGGAACACATCATCCAGAAAACACAAGTGTTTATTAACAGTTGTCTACAGAAAATACTTCGTATTCGTTGGCCAGACACCATCAGCAACAACGTACTGTGGGAGAGAACAAACCAGATTCCAGTGGAGGAGGAAATCAGGAAGAAGCGATGGAAGTGGATTCGACACACACTACGAAAAGCACCGAAATGCGTCACGAGACAAGCCCTCACATGGAACCCTTAAGGTAAAAGGAAAAGAGGAAGGCGAAAGAATACATTACGCCGAGAAATAGAGAAAGATATGAGAGGAATGAACAAACATTGGACAGAACTGGAAAGGGAAGCCCAGGACAGAATTGGTTGGAGAAACCTGGTGGGCGGCCTATGCTCCGTTGGGGGTAACAGGCGTAAGTAAGTAAGTAAGTAAGTAAGTAAGTAAGTAAGTAAGTAAGTAAGTAAGTAAATAAGAAAGTAAGTAAGTAAGTAAGTAAGTAAGTAAGTAAGCAAGTAAGTAAGTAAGTAAGTAAGTAAGTAAGTATGTAAGTAAGTAAGTAAGTGCATAAGTAAGTAAGTAAGTAAGTAAGTATGTAAGTAAGTAAGTAAGTAAGTAAGTATGTAAGTAAGTAAGTAAGTAATTAAGAGCATAAATAAGTAAGTAAGTAAGTAAGTAAGTATGTAAGTAAGTAAGTAAGTAAGTAAGTAAGTAAGTAAGTAAGTAAGTAAGCAAGTAAGTAAGTTAGTAAGTAAGTAAGTAAATAAGTAAGTAAGTAAGTATGAATTATGTTTTGTGTGTCAATTCGCGTCAAACTTAGCTACATGTTTTACTACCCTATGCCATACAATATATATATATATATATATATATATATATATATATATATATATACCATAACCATAACCTGAAAGATTTTTATAGGACCAGAGGTTGATTGTGAACAATGTAGATAGTCTGTAGTACTTTGGAAAGATTTACAGGGTAACAGGGTAGTTGCCTTGCAACATTCCCGAAGACTATGGTCATTGTGACTCTTTATTGCATATCGCCACTGCTAGTAATAATATGTTTGACAGTTATGTCACCAGGATGAGTCAAACTGACCTCTTAATGAGGGCATAGAATAATTGACGCAATCATAAATATGAGAGGTATTCATTACATTTCGTAACACTAATAAACAGTTTATTATTCAGTGCATTTTACACTTTGACGTGTAATCAATCTTCAGATCAAATTAAATATGCGCTGAATGATTTTGATAATGCTGAGAAACAATTACAAAATGTTACAGGTAAGTAAATTCCATGATTCATTTATGAGTATTTTTGCAAATATGACCAGTGTAATTCAACTGCGTCGAGTATAAACAGTTATTCAAATAATATTAGGGAATATGTTCATTTACTGTCATGATTTGTCTGAAGTCAGACGTTAACTCGGTGTAAAAAGGTTTTTGAGTCACAGCGAGTGTGTTTGTGTGATTCACCTGAAGAGATGGGATCATGTATGCTAGTCAGTGAGGAATCCTATACTGGGAACGAGAGAGAGTCTGATGCTTCCTCGATTTTTGTAGTGGGGTAGTTAAGTTTAGTATGTGATTTAGCAACATGAACTTATATAAACTCGTGGTTTATTACACACTTACTTACTTACGCCTGTTACCCCCAACGGAGCATAGGCCGCCCACCAGTTTTCGCCAACCAACTCTGTCCTGGGCTTCCCTTTCCAGTTCTGTCCAATGTTTGTTCATTCCTCTCATATCTTTCTCTATTTCTCGGCGTAATGTATTCTTTCGCCTTCCTCTTTTCCTTTTACCTTAAGGGTTCCATGTGAGGCCTTGTCTCGTGACGCAGTTCGGTGCTTTTCGTAGTGTGTGTCGAATCCACTTCCATCGCTTCTTCCTGATTTCCTCCTCCACTGGAATCTGATTTGTTCTCTCCCACAGTTCGTTGTTGCTGATGGTGTCTGGCCAACGAATACGAAGTATTTTCTGTAGACAACTGTTAATAAACACTTGTATCTTCTGGATAATGGCTTTGGTAGTTCTCCTTGTTTCCCCCCCATACTGTAGAACTGTCTTCACATTTGTACTGAAAATCCTGATTTTGGTTTTGGTTGAAAGTTGTTTGGAGTTCCAGATATTTTTCAACTGTAGAAATGCAGCCCTTGCTTTGCCAATCCACGCCCTCACATCTGCATCGGATCCACCTTGGTTGTCGATGATGCTGCTCAGATATGTAAAGGTGTTAATGTCCTCCATGGCATCTCCATCAAGAGTGATTTGGTTGGTGCATGTTGTGTTGCATCGGAGAATTTCGCTTTTACCTTTATGAATGTTGAGACCTACTGCTGCAGAGGCTGCTGCTACACTGGTCGTCTTCTCTTGCATTTGTTGTTGCGTGTGCGATAGAAGAGTCAGGTCATCTGCGAAGTCCAGATCGTCCAGCTGCGTCCTAACTGTCCAGTTGATACCGTGCTTCCCTCCAGATGTTGACGTTTTCCTAATCCAGTCGATGACCAGGAGAAAGAGAAAGAGTGAGAGTAAGCAACCTTGCCTGACACTGGTCTACACCTCGAAAGAGTCTGTTAGCTGTCCTTCGTGTACGATATTGCAGTTGAACCCATCATAAGAATTCCGTGTGATGTCAACTATTTTCTCATGCACCTCGTAGTGTCGAAGAAGCCTTCGCAGTGTTTTCATGTCCACGCTGTCGAATGCCTTCTCGTAGTCAATGGAGTTGATGTACAGTGGTGTGTTCCATTTAATTGATTGTATCACAGTGATCCGTAATGTAGCAATTTGGTCAGTACACGATCGATCCTTACGAAATCCGGCTTGTTGATCTCGAAGTTGGGCGTCTACGAAGTTCTTCATTCTGTTTAATAATACCCTGTTGAAGACTTTGCCTGTTATTGAAAGAAGAGTGATGCTTCTGTAGTTTTCACACTTGCTCATATCGCCTTTCTTTGGTATTTTGATGAGGTATCCTCCTTTCCAATCTGATGGTACTTGCTCCTCATCCCAGCTCTTCTTGAAGAGGATGTTGAAGTTTTTCTAAAAATCATTCGAAACAAACACTTGATCATTTAGTAGTATTGTACGGTTTTACGATTATCTGTTTACGTAGTTTTGAATGTTCATCAAGATTTGTGGAGTTTAATCCGTTTTCAGCAGTAGACGGTTGTGAAGCAGGTTGTGAAACATAATGAAATGTTGGAAGTCAGACATAGTGACAGTTGGTGGGTGAATCAGTAGTTGATAGAGTAGGCGTTCATGCGCATGATCAATCATTCGATTGCCCTGTGATCATACATGAATTGAATTTGCTCATGAGTCCGATTATAGGACGGAATGACCATCCAGTAATTTCAAGTTTCAATTAATTTAGAGCAATGAAAAATTTTTATGTACCACTGTCATTTTTCTTTTCAGATTACTTGAAGAACGTATCAAGAGACGTCTATCAACGTGTCAATAAATGTAAGTGATAACAACTGTTCATTTT